GAGGAGGAGGAAGAGGAGGAGGAGGAGGAGGAGGAGGATCAGAAAAGGCAGGAGGTGGAGGAGCAGTGGGGGGGGCGAGGTCACGAAAAAATGATGATGAGGATAGTGGGTGGATGCGCAGGCGGTGGCTGAGGAGGGGTATGGGAGGAGAGAAGCGAGGAGAACGGGAACAGGAGGAGGACGGAGCAGACGAGCACCCGTAGGATACGGATGAGGAACAACAGGTGGGGGAGGAGCAGCGTTTCGCAACATCTTGCAACACACATCTGGCTAAACACAGCATACACTAGTGCGAAGTTCGCAGTTGGAACAGATCTGTGATGATATGGAGGATAAGGAACAATGATCCCGAAAACAGCGGCTCCGGGAAAAGGATAAGGCATGGGGCTCAGACAAGTGGGAGAGGGGGTCCGAGGACGTTTCCAGTTCAATGGGCCCACCCCTTCATGGAAATACAACCCGTCGACGACTTGTCAATCAAAGCAGCCGAATTGCAGGAGCATACGCGTTGCAATTTAGGATCAAGCTTTGCGCGAGCTGTCCATCTGACTTCGTCCCGTCCCGCGTCGGCCAATGGCCTTACGGCCTCCTCAGCCGAATGGTTATGTCACGTCTGCACAGAAGGAGGAGGCAGCTGAACTGAGGCTGCTTCTTGAACTCGCGGACGGCCAGAAAACATTCGAGATGGTTCGCAGCGACGCTTCCAAGTTTGGGTTCAAAGGCAAGGTCCTGAAACAGCTGGTGAAATCGCACGCGTCCCGTGGTATCCGGCAGAGGCTGAAGGAACTCACAGGGATCGACAGGGACGAATTGACACATTTTCGGGTAAGATGCGCAGAGGGCGCGGGAGATGGGCAAGTTGACAACAACGGTTCCCCTACGATGGACCACCCGTTCATATTGTTGTCCACCCACATACAGCAGCTATACGCTGCTGACGATGCCTTCTTTGAGATCGAAGAGCAACCCGCCAATAGCCAAGTTGTTAGCAATCTTATAAATTCGCCAGAATATCAAAACCATGGACTGGTCAACCATTTGCGCGGCAGCGGCGAGACGGTCGTCCCTGTTGGTTTCTACGCTGACGGGGTGGCAGTGTGTTCGGACCCCATTCAAGATTCGATTTACGTGGTCATGATATACTTTCCCCACAGAGGTCTGGCCGAGGCTGGGAGGCCAGATTGCAAGTATATCTACACCATATACCGGAAGTCAGAATGCACGCCGCAGACATTGGAAGACATTTACGCAGTGTTCCTATGGGAGCTGCAGGCTCTCCAGCACGGGCGCGCGCCGGCACTGGGTCAGGAGAGGTTGCCTCTCGAGCAACAGCAACCTGGAGGGTACATCGGCGGTGCTTTCGGGATGTGGCATAAGTTTTGCTTAATGCAAGTGAAGGCCGACTGGGCATTTTACGCAGAATCTTTCGGAGCGTGGCAATGGAACAGCAATGCCCACATGTGTCCCTTTTGCTCAGCAGAGGGCAAAGGTGAGTTGTCATGGCGGGACTTTTCCTGCGACGCTGCGTGGATCCCGACGTGTCGAACGCACGATCGCTTCCTCAGCGACATGGCCCTGAGCCAGGCATCGGGGTTCGCGCGGGGGGTGGCCCTTTTTCGAGTTGCCCTGCTCTGACGAAGGCTCCGTACTTCCGGTGGACCATGGTCAAGGCCGATTGGATGCACGCGGCCGATCTAGGGATCCTCGTCTACGAATTGGCAGAATCATGGTGGTCGATGCTTCCTGAGCTCGGAGATACGGACAGGAAGATCTCGCGAGAAACTGGCTTGGGTATCCTGAAGCGCCGTCTGCGGCAGCACTATCGTGATACGAAGTGCGCCAGCCGCTTGCCGTTGAAGCGGTTCGGCTTGACTAAGATTCGAGCCAGACAAAGGCATCCGAAGTTGAAGGCAAAGGCCGGGCAAGCAAGAAAGCTCTTGGGCTTCACCGTGGACCTGGCCAGAGAATGCCAGGACAAGAACGATGCTATCGGCGCGGCTCGGCTCCAGTCCCTCGAATGCTTGTCTGAAGTGTACGACATCGCTAATAAGGCCGAGCTGCAGGCCCACGAGCTCACGAGGTGGCGGTACTTGATGCACCTCCACAATTATTACTATGCGAAGTGCGGCTACCGGTTCTATCCGAAATTCCACTACATTATGCACTTGCCGCAACAATGCGAGCAAGGAGGGGTGGCCCGATCGTTCTGGGTTTACGGGGAGGAGACAAAGAACATGTTCGTCAAACGGCTGTTCAACATCTGCTCCAAAGGCCACGGGCTGTGCGCATCCATGCTCGAGCGCCTGCAGTGGCAGCAGGCTCTGCGGAGCAAGATTGCCGCCCGCTGAGGCGAAATGCGCGTCTCAGGACCGCTTTCGCGGAGATTCCTCGGCCCGCCCCCATCACCCCTTGCACTGCTGTTTCACGGCCTCGCTCGTGGCTTTCATCGTTTCACTGTTTCACGATCGCGAGGCACCGCGGCGTCGCGCTTGCGCCTGGCAAAAAAATCCGTTGTTCTTCCTCTTCGCCCTCCTCATATCCTCTTCGTTTTCCTCTTCTTCTTCCCCTTCTCGCCCTCCCCGTGAGAGCCAGGGGGGAAGACAGAGAGAGAGAGAGAAGGAGTCAGAGGGAGGGAGGGAGAGAGACCCCAAGAAGCCCCCAAGAGGGCCCCGACAAGACCCAAGAGCCAAGAGGCCCCGGGAGGCGCTCATTCGCGCGCTGCCAAGCCAGAGGTGCATGGCATCTCGGAACCCAGCTGTTGCGAGTATGTCTCAGGCGTAAGGGGCCGGAACACCGCTGGGCAGGGCATCTCCGAGGTCAGAGTTGCGAGGGTACTTCAGCCGAGGGCGTGTCGGAAGCTAGAGTTGCGAGGATGTCTCAGGCGAAGGTGGCAATACCACCTAAGGTCAGGTCATCTCGGAGCCCGCACTTGCGAGGATGTCTTAGGCGAAACCGGCCTGACCATTTCAGTTGAGGGCATCTCGGAAACAAGAGTTGCGCGGATGTCTCAGGCGAAAGTGTCCGCCACAACCATGGGGCAGGGCATTTCCGAGGTCGGCGTTGCACGGATGTTTCAGGCGAAGATGGCAAGACCACTTAAGCCCACGGCATGTCCGAAACCAGAGTTGCGAGGATGTGTCAGGCGAAAGTGGCCGGACCACCATGGGGCAGGGCATCCCTCAGACCAGAATTGCGAGGATGTCTCAGGAAGAAGTGGCCGAACCACCTCAGCTGAGGGCATCTCGAAACCCGCAGTTGCGAGGATGTCTTAGGAGGAAGTGGCCTGACCACCATGGGGCTGGGCATTTCCCAGACCAGAGTTGCGAGGAGGTCTCAGGCGAAAGTGGCCTGACCACCCTGGGGCAGGGCATCTCCCAGATCAGAGTTGATGATGATGAGGATGATGATGAAGGCCGGGCGCCACGATGATGATGATGATGATGATGATGATGACGATGACGATGACGATGACAATGATGATGATGATGATTATGATGCTGATGATGATGGTGGTGGTAATGATGATGTTGACGATGATGGCGATGATGTCAATGATGATGATGATGACGATGATGACGACGATGACGATGATGATGATGATGATGAGGAAGAGGACGACGACGATAATGATGAAGATGAGGATGAGGATAAGGATGAGGATGACGATGATACTGATGATGATGATGATGATGATGATGATGACGATGATGATGATGATGATGATGATCATGATCATGATGATGATGATGATGATGATGATGATGATGATGATAATGATGTAAGCGGCACTACATATATCTAAAGATTCACTGTTTTGAGCATTTCGTCGTTTCCAGTTATGCTCATTTTCAGATCCATGAGCACACTTGCCGCCCATAGATCAATAGACCATTCCGGCTCAGAAATACTTCCAACAGTTACAATCTCACTTTTGCGGGGCAATGGGGAGGGGGACATCTTCCGATGTTTCCGCGGACGCGCTGTTCACGCATCTATGTGCTCTGTCCTTGGCTGGCGCCGCCCAGATCCAAAAAGCAAAGGGGAAGGTTGACAGCGTGTTGGGAGAGATCGTCTCCTGCGTCCTTCGGGCGGACCCGTCAGGGACGCCCAAGTCGGGGCAGCTGCGCCAGGCGTTTGTGCGCTTCGACGGATTCTTCCAATCCAAATTCAGTGTCGCCGCTAAAAAGACGGCTCAGCATCAGCAGCATCAACATCAGCATTATGCTCATCATCAGCAGCATCAACATCAGCGGTTGGATGTGAACCACTCCATATTCCGCGCCTCAGGGTGTTTCTATACATGTGGGCTCCAGTTGAGCCGGTCTATATTCGCGGCGTTAGATGACGGTCAGTCGAATTTCACTGGACCTCGGAGACCCACCAGGAGGGAGGAGGTGTGAGGCGGAGGAGGAGGACGAGGAGTAGGCGGAGGGAAATGATGATGATGATGATGGTGATGATGATGCTGTTGCTAAAGATGATGATGATGCTGCTGCTGGTGATGATGCTGGTGGTGATGAAGATGATGATGATGATGATGATGATGATGAGGATGCTCATGATGATGATGATGAGCATAATGCTGACGTTGATGCTGCTGATGATGATGATCAAATGCCCCACTGCACGAGGCTACCTCCACACACCGCGACTGGAAAATAACCGGCATTAAAAAGTTAAAGACAGGAGGCGCACCATGAAGGGTGGCAGCCGGAGCGCGAGGCAAGGCAGCAGGCGCGAGAGAGAGGCTCGAGGCTCAAGAAGGCTGTACCCCCTTAAATTCCCGATCGCACCTGCACCCCATTAAATTCCCGATCGCGCCTGTACCCCCTTAGTTTCCCGGTCACTTCAAATGGCTGCAATGGCTGCCAGCGTCCCCCAAAAGGGCTTAGCAACCACGGCAGGAGAGCGGAAGAAGAGCGGTGGCACGGGCTGCCCTACTCGGGGCCCGCGGCGGGCATGCCCGCCGCGAGGGCCGTCCTGCGGCTCTTGAAATACTTCCACTCAGGGCTGATCCACGTGGGGTACCAGCGCGTCCCCCCGGGGCCGCACGTCCTCCACACCTTCTGCCAGCCAGGCGCCCCCGGTGTGGTCTCTGGGGCAACCGGCGCTGCCTTCGCGGCGGCCTTCGCGGCGGCGGGCTTGGGCCTGACCGCCGCCACCGCGAAAGGGGGAACTGCTGCGGCGGCGGCTGCCGCGGGAGGTGCTGCCTTCGCCGCTGCAGGCCGCTTCCTCGCCGGGGCAGCCTCCTCGTCGTCATCGTCTTCCCCGTCGTCGTCGACGTAGTCCTCGTCGAGCGGGGGGCCCCCGGCCGCCGGCGGGGCGAAGCCCTCGTCCACGGCCGGGCCCGCGCCCGCTGGGGCCGACACGCGGACGCCGCCCAGCATGGCGGACTTCAGCCGCATCGCCGTCTTGATTCCGGCGTGGACGACGGCTTCGTCCAAGTCGACCGGAATACGCGCCAGCGTGGTGGCGCCTTGGTAGCCCGGTATCAAACACGGGACCTGTGGGCTTACCCCCGCTGGGGCCGGCTGGGGTCCGCGCTCGGCTGCCCGGGAGGCTGGCGCTCTGCTACCTGCAGGCCCCGTGGGCCCGACAGGCGGGGCCTGCTCAGCTGGGCCGTTTGGCGGAGCCTGCAACTGGCGCTGCGTCTTGGTGGGGGGTAGCTCCGGCTCCTGCGCTGGAGGCTGCGCCTGCTTGGCGCGCAGCCGTTTCTTGCCCGAGGTCTTGTTCGCCGCGGCCTTCCTCTCCTTCAAGAACCCGCCACCGTACCGGTAAGCGCGACGACCCAAGACGGCCCAAGATGGCCCCAAGACGGCCCAACATGGCCCCAAGAAGGGCCCAAGACTGCTCCAGGGGTCCACAAGAGGACCCAAAAGAGGCCCTTGAGAAGGGGCCGAGAACCCCCAAGAGGCCTCCGAAGAACACCCCTAGGGGCCCAGGGCACCCCCGCCCATGACCCGGCCGTGGTGACGGGATACGCCGAAGGCCATCAGATGCCCGGTGCTCTGCGCTCCGGCCCGTCTTGTTACGCTTCTGTAAGGCGGCCCTGACAGCTGCGGACTCTTTCTCGGCCCATTCCTGAGCCGTCTTTTTAGCGGCGACACTGAATTTGGATTGGAAGAATCCGTCGAAGCGCACAAACGCCTGGCGCAGCTGCCCCGACTTGGGCGTCCCTGACGGGTCCGCCCGAAGGACGCAGGAGACGATCTCTCCCAACACGCTGTCAACCTTCCCCTTTGCTTTTTGGATCTGGGCGGCGCCAGCCAAGGACAGAGCACATAGATGCGTGAACAGCGCGTCCGCGGAAACATCGGAAGATGTCCCCTTCCCCATTGCCCCGCAAAAGTGAGATTGTAACTGTTGGAAATATTTCTGAGCCGGAATGGTCTATTGATCTATGGGCGGCAAGTGTGCTCATGGATCTGAAAAGGAGCATAACTGGAAACGACGAAATGCTCAAACAACTGAATATTTCGCGCCGCTTGCATCATCACCATCATCATCATCCTCATCATCATCCATCATCATCATCATCGTCGTCGTCCTCTTCCTCATCATCATCAGAATCGTCATCGTCGTCATCATCGTCGTCATCATCGTCAACATCATCATCACCGCCACCATCATCATCAGCATCATCATCGTGGCGCCCTGCATTCATCATCATCCTCAGCATCATCAACTCTGACCTGGGAGATGCCTTGCCCCAGGGTGGTCAGGCCAGTTTCGCCTGAGACACCCTCGCAACTCTGGTCTGGGAGATGCCCAGCCCCATGGTGGTCAGGCCACTTCCTCCTAAAACATCCTCGCAACTGCGGGTTCCGAGATGCCCTCAGCTGAGGTGGTTAGGCCACTTCCTCCTGAGACATCATCGCAACTCTGGTCTCACAGATGCCCTGCCCCACGGTGGTCCGGCCACTTTCGCCTGACACGTCCTCGCAACTCTGGCTTCCGACATGCCGTGGGCTTAGGTGGTCTTGCCACCTTCGCCTGAGACATCCTTGCAACGCCGACCTCGGAGGTGCCCTGCCCCATGATTCTCCAGGCACTTTCGCCTGAGACATCCTCGCAACTCTTGTTTCCGAGATGCCCTCAACTGAATTGGTCAGGCCGGTTTCGCCTGAGACATCCTGGCAATTGCGGGCTCCGAAATGCCTTGAGCTTAGGTGGTCTTGCCACCTTCGCCTGAAACATCCTCGCAACTCTGGCTTCCGACACGCCCTCGGCTGAGGTATCCTCGCAACTCTGACCTCGGAGATGCCGTGCCCAGTGTTGGTCCGGCCACTTTCGCCTAAGGCATCCTCGCAACTGCGGGTTCCGAGATGTACTGAGCTCAGTTGATGAGGCCGCTTTCGCTTGAGATATCCTCGGAACTCTGATCTCGAGGACGGACCTCTCTGGGACAAACGCGACTCTGCACAAGTCCTCCTTGTGCGCGTCGTGTAGGCGTTGACTCTTTGATATACCATTGTATCAGAAATAAGTGCCACAGGTAAATGTGGTGGAGGATCCCGTGTCTGACACGTCACGTCACCGAGTGGAAAATCAAGCGATGCGTCATCGCGCCAGTATTGTAATGGCCTCCGGCCAGTGCCGCCGATCTGGGGCGCTCCTGATGCCATTGTTGGAATGGACGACGACGACGACAACGGACGACCAATGTTCGACGAGCGGGATAATTACGACGACGAGCGACGAACGGGCTAACGACGACGATTGACGACGACGACGACGACAACGACGACGATGACGAGGACGACGAAGACGACGACGACGACGACGACGACGACGACGACGACGACGACGACGACGACCGCTGGTGACGACGACGGGCGGGAGGTTCTTCGGTCATTGCCGTCGCTCCCGAGCAAGAGCAAGTCATGCCATGCACCTCTGGCTTGGCAGCGCGCAAATGAGCGCCTCCTGGGGCCTCTTGGCTCTTGGGTCTTGTCGGGGTCCTCTTGGGGGCTTCTTGGGGTCTCTTTCCCTCCGCCCCTCCCGCTCCCTCTCTCTCTCTCTCTTTCTCTCTGTCTCTCCCCCTGGCTCTCACGGGGGGGGCGAGAAGGAACAGAAGAAGAGGAAGACGAAGAAGATATGAGGAGGGCGAAGAGGAAGAGGAACGGACTTTTTAGCCAGGCGCAAGCGCGACGCCGCGGCGCCTCGCGATCGTGAAACAGTGAAACGATGAAAGCCACGAACGAGGCCGTGAAACAGCAGCGCAAGGGGTGAGGGGGCGGGCCGAGGAATCTCCGCGAAAGCGGTCCTGAGACGCGCATTTCGCCTCAGCGGGCGGCAATCATGCTCCGCAGAGCCTGCTGCCACTGCAGGCGCTCGAGCATGGATGCGCACAGCCCGTGGCCTTTGGAGCAGATGTTGAACAGCCGTTTGACGAACATGTTCTTTGTCTCCTCCCCGTAAACCCAGAACGAACGGGCCACCCCTCCTTGCTCGCATTGTTGCGGCAAATGCATCATGTAGTGGAATTTCGGATAGAACCGGTAGCCGCACTTCGCATAGTAATAATTGTGGAGGTGCATCAAGTACCGCCACCTCGTGAGCTCGTGGGCCTGCAGCTCGGCCTTATTAGCGATGTCGTACACTTCAGACAAGCATTCGAGGGACTGGAGCCGAGCCGCGCCGATAGCATCGTTCTTGTCCTGGCATTCTCTGGCCAGGTCCACGGTGAAGCGCAAGAGCTTTCTTGCTTGCCCGGCCTTTGCCTTCAACTTCGGATGCCTTTGTCTGGCTCGAATCTTAGTCAAACCGAACCGCTTCAACGGCAAGCGGCTGGCGCACTTCGTATCACGATAGTGCTGCCGCAGACGGCGCTTCAGGATACCCAAGCCAGTTTCTCGCGAGATCTTCCTGTCCGTATCTCCGAGCTCAGGAAGCATCGACCACCATGATTCTGCCAATTCGTAGACGAGGATCCCTAGATCGGCCGCGTGCATCCAATCGGCCTTGACCATGGTCCACCGGAAGTACGGAGCCTTCGTCAGAGCAGGGCAACTCGAAAAAGGAGCCACCCCCCGCGCGAACCCCGATGCCTGGCTCAGGGCCATGTCGCTGAGAAAGCGATCGTGCGTTCGACACGTCGGGATCCACGCAGCGTCGCAGGAAAAGTCCCGCCATGACAACTCACCTTTGCCCGCTGCTGAGCAAAAGGGACACATGTGGGCATTGCTGTTCCATTGCCACGCTCCGAAAGATTCGGAGTAAAATGCCCAATCGGCCTTCACTTGCATTAAGCAAAACTTATGCCACATCCCGAAAGCACCGCCGATGTACCCTCCAGGTTGCTGTTGCTCGAGAGGCAACCTCTCCTGACCCAGTGCCGGCACGCGCCCGTGCTGGAGAGCTTGTAGCTCCCATAGGAACACTGCGTAAATGTCTTCCAATGTCTGCGGCGTGCATTCTGACTTCCGGTATATGGTGTAGATATACTTGCAATCTGGCCTCCCAGCCTCGGCCAGACCTCTGTGGGGAAAGTATACCATGACCACGTAAATCGAATCTTGAATGGGGTCCGAACACACTGCCACCCCGTCAGCGTAGAAACCAACAGGGACGACCGTCTCGCCGCTGCCGCGCAATTGGTTGACCAGTCCATGGTTTTGATACTCGGGTGAATTTATGAAATTGCTGACAACTTCGCTATTCGCGGGTTGCTCTTCGATCTCGAAGAAGGCATCGTCAGCAGCGTATAGCTGTTGTATGTGGGTGGACAACAATATGAACGGGTGGTCCATCGTAGGGGCGCCGTTGCTGTCAACTTGCCCATCTCCCGCGCCCTCTGCGCATCTTATTCGAAAATGTGTCAAATCCTCCCTGTCGATCCCTGTGAGTTCCTTCAGCCTCTGCCGGATACCACGGGACGCGTGCGATTTCACCAGCTGTTTCAAGACCTTGCCTTTGAACCCAAACTTGGAAGCGTCGCTGCGAACCATCTCGAATGTTTTCTGGCCGTCCGCGAGTTCAAGAAGCAGCCTCAGTTCAG